GGGGGGGGAAGGGTGGGGGGGGACGCCATTGACGGGGGGTGAAGGTTTATGAAGGAACGCACTTGGGGGAAGTACGGAATGAGAACAGAAGAAGAAAAGAGCGCTAGGGAAAAGAATGCGAGTGGGGTAGAGTAGTTGGGAAAGGTGATAGGGAAATGAGTGAAAAGGAAGGGAATGCTATGGAGGGGAAGAGAAGCCAAAGGTAAGAGAGGGGAGTGGAAAAGAATGGGAGTATAGTAGATTGGTAAGAAAGAGGGAAATGCTAGAGAGTAGAAGGACAGGGATGAGGAGTCAAAGTCAGCAGAGTGAAATAGGTAGGGGAGGCACAGGGAAGATGTATAGAGGTACAAACTTGAAGGTAAGATATGAAACGAAAAAGAATGAAAAAATGATTGGAAGGGAAGAGAACGGGAGTGGTGTACAGTGATAGGAAAAACTGAGAGGGAAGAGAATAGAAGAAAGAAGGCGTGATTTGAAAGGGATACAGAGCCATGTAAGGGAGGCATAGGAATTTTCAGGGAGGTAAAGACTTAGAAGGGAGATAGGGAAGGAAAACAGATGGATAAATAAGTGGAAGAGAAAGTATTGTTGTAGAATATATGGGTAGAAAAAGAGATGATGGGGAAAGGAGGTGAAGGAAAGGAAATGGTATGGAAATAATGAGATAAAGTTAAGAAAGTGGAGAAGGTGGGGAAGACATGAGAAGGTGTGTGGAGGGACAGACATGGAGGGGAAACGAAGGCCAAGGAAGAGAAGAGATGGAAAATATAGGAAATAAGATTAAGGTTCAGCTGAAGGGAATAGAGTATGAGGGAAGAGAGGTGTGGATAGGGACTAGAAGTCAAGGTAATGGGAAGGATGAAAATATAAGAGAGTGGAAGGCGAGGAAAGAGAGTGGATGAGTAAGGAAGAAAAGAGGACGAAGGGAAAAGAAAAGTGTGGAAGGGAAGGGAAGAGTAACGAAGGGAGTGGAAGGAAAAGGAAGGTTGTGGGAGGGAAAGAAAGAGAATGGGAATGTGGCAAACGTGTTGTGTCTCGAGTAGCTCCAAGAGTCTCACTTTAGACGTGTTTTCTATCGGAAGAGCGCCGGACCCGGTGCGAGTGCATGGATGTGCAAAGCAAGATGGTGGTCGCAGGGAGCGGGGCGCGCGGCGGCGCGGCGCCGGCCACGAGGCAGCATCCGAGGCCACGGCGCGGGAGGCCGCGCGCGAGCACGCGAGGGAGCAGCTGCTGGAGCGACTCGTCGGCACCGTCGCCGAGATCGGAGAGGTAAGCCAGCTTTCTTCTTTCTCTCTTCCTCTTCTTTCTCTCTTCCTCTCCTTTCT